CAATACTGACAATTGGGCAGTGACTCATGATTTCTGAGGGCAATAGAGTAGTTTAGGGGTTGCAGGACAAGTTGTATAGTGCACACAGCTCTGTTCCCCAACAGAGGAAGCTCAGAAGAAATGGACTGGGGGGTAGGATTGCTCCTTCTCTTCTTCAGCATCTGCCCTTGGAGATGGTTGCCTCACTGCCTAATGGTAGGGCTGGCCCTGTATGGACTGCTGGTCATCCAAACAGGCAAAGAGAAATAGAGCTGTGTCTTCACTAATGGTCAGGAAACAGGTTAGAATGATAACATTCTTGTAAATATTTGAAACACTGAGTGGTGTTACTTGTGTCAGGGACTGAAAGAGAGGAGAGTATGCGAATGAGTAAAGTTGCCTGTTAAGGTCTGATCAGGAGATGCTATCTGCAAATGCCTCTCTTTCAATGTATGGTTGGAGTCTATGGGCTTTTGCAGACTGCCAGAAATAGTGCAAATTGAGTCTACTTTAAGGGTTAGGGTTAGTGCTAGGGAATCATTCCAACCATACATTGAAAGCGAGGTCTCAGAGGTCCAAGCGGGGTTCAGGAAAGGAAGAGGGACTAGGGATCACATTGCAAACATACGATGACTTATGAAGCACACCAGGGAATTCCAAAAGAAAATCAGCATGTACTTTATAGACTATAGCAAAGCCTTTGACTGCATAGACCATGAAAGACTATGGAACTCCCTTAGGACATGGGAGTGCCAACACATCTGGTAGTCCTGATGAGAAATTTTTACTCAGGACAAGAGGCTACTGTCAGAACAGAACACAGAGAAATAGTATGGCTCCCAATTGGAGCCATACTATTTCTCTGTATCCTTTCACACTATTTGTTCAACCTGTATGCAGAACACATTATAAGAATAGTTGGCTTGGACACAGAAGAAGGAGGAGTGAAAATAGAAGGAAGGAATATCAACAATCTAGGATATGCAGATGATACCATAATACTAGCAGAAAACCCTCCTTTGGACACACTCCAGTTTCTCCACATCCTTTTTGAATTGT